TATATCCACCGGGTGGCTCAACTCGTTTTGGCGCAATTTCTGTTTCTGTAAACGATTGACCAATGGAATTGCTTGCTTCGATTTTCGCCATTTCTATTGGTTGAGGTTTTTTAGTACGTAGGCGTACGATGTGGACTGTACCTTTTTTAGGTTAGAAAAGGTGAGGATATTGGATGAGTCCACAAAGGTCATCGGCGAAAGGTGTGTGTAGCTTGCTGGCAGCCGCGTGTATATTATTTTGGGAACGGATTTCGTATGTTTTTATACACTTTTTCCGAACAATATCGGCTCCAGAATTAAATTATTTATTTATTTCTAATTGGCCCTAAGAAGTCACGTGGTATGTCTTCTACTACGTCCGTACGATATTTGGTCGGTATCTACCTAAAAATGATGATGACTAATACAACAAACATTCTGATTTGTAATCTATGATTTTATTGGTGTGTTTTAAGATGTAAGTGTTTTCTTAAGTGTCATTGGTTTATAAATATTGTAGTTGATATTTTACTAGTGGACACGACAGTATCATATCTGGTCTGCTTGTGACACTACGTGACACTGGCAAACGGAAAGAAAAGGGTTAAATTAAAAACAAAGCTCGGAACGAAACGAGAAGGTGAAAGAATAGAACGATGACAAAAGGAAAGGGATTTCTTTTTATTTCCAAAGTCTGGCTTAGTTTACGGCAGAGATACTTCGAAGAAAAGTGATTCTGTTACAAGATATTACCACGAAAACCATATGGCGATGTTGGGCAGACAACTGGTTAATGAGGCAGCTTATAAAAAGCGCCGGTTACGAAAATACAGTATAAGCAGAATAGATCATATTTGGTATGTATCTGTTACGGTATTTGTTAGTAGAAATAACAGTACAGAACAAGAGAGAACGACAAGACATGTTAAGCTTACAAGGGGGGAAACGCTCTCTGTCTGTAAAAACAAAGCGACCTCTTTTATTCAAGGAAGTAACTGGCTATCCAGGGAAGGTAACTCATGTCATGACAGTATCCAGAGCCAGATAACAAAGCGACACTTGTTGGTGACAGGGAAACCACCGTGAACCCATATCCACGTCATTGCTAGCTTCACATGGAAGTCAATATAAGCAGATGACCAAGAGACAGAGGTTCCAGACGACAGACGAGAGATGACCGAATCCTATATGACTTACTGCCAGAGAGAACCTCCGACTCGTGCCTTGTTCCAGACTTAGATAATTGAGCATAGTGTCACGATAGAACGCAAAGTGGGAGGAGTGTAGAAGACCCGGTAGCATGCAGTGCTGGCCTACGAAAAGGTGGCCTTGTGCCAGATACTACTCACGACTACCGAATCCACTAACAAAGTAAAAATAATAAATGTGTGATCTTTAGCAAGGAAAAAGGGTCATTCGACACATGCATAAAAATAGTAAAATATAGATAGCCAGGAGGAAACGACAAAAACGAGTCTGGTGGAAGACAAATATAAAACTTTATTTTAATAACAAATATTTGGTCTCACACAGTGGGGACCATCAGAAAAGAAAAGGCTGTTCTTAGCCAGTAGGTAAATTGTATAGTGTAGTGACAAGTAAGAAGTTAATGTTCCGCGCCAAAACGAAAATCAAAATGGCTAAGGCGGGAAAAGTTTCTACTGAAGGAAAGTTCTGGAATATAGTCTTCTTATACCAAAAGGTGCATGCATACACAACAAAGAAAATACTCACTGCGAGGTTTTATAATGTGTGTGTAATGTTATCTTTTTTTTAAACTGGTTCGTAAAGGTTAGATTTCAAAAGGTGGATGTGTAGTTCATCAATCGGACGTGTCGAAAAACTCTACGATCCCTAATAGTGAACGGAGGAACGTTCGAACAAGTTGTTCGCAGAAGGACGAGGAATTAGTCTTAAAAGTGTGATGCCGACAGTGTCGTAGACTCTACATTCTCCGGTAGAAAATGGAGGAAGGTTCAAACATGTTGTTCGAAACAAGTTACAATCACAGAGAAAATATTCGACATAATGAACAAAAGAGTCACTAGGAAGTTTTTGGTTAGTTAAGATATTCCGGCCAGCGTATGGGTAAGGGGCACAAAATAAATGAGTCGACCTTCTTCTTCTGGAAACAGGCCGCGACTGACTTGAAAAACAAAGTTTGTCAGTGACGGCAGAGAAATGCGCGGGAAAACTTCAAATTCCGTTCTAGCTGGAATCAGGAGCATCCAGACCTCCTCACGTCGACAACAAACAGGCTGGTTTACTACTATGTCTAGCCGAGTGTGAACGGAAGGGGTGCAATCCGCGTACGCACGTAAAAATAGTTGCAATCCCTGCGCGATTCCACAGGAGTTAATGTTTTGTGCCCAAAACCAATTCATTGTATAGAAACAGTCTATAAATTTTCATCGAACTAGACCCTAAAGAATTCTTGTCTTTTCCTTAACTGCAAGGACATTTTTTTTTTTGTTAAATTCCTTTGTGACATAGATTTGCCGGGAACATAACAATTGCTGACGACAATTTGATTTTTGCCGACTCTGTGATCAAACATCACAACGTGGACAGAGCAACGGTTTAGAACAGAGTGACCAACCCAACGGCCAGCGCCAGCATTTGACCAAAGTCTAACCAGCAGAAGCGTGTTAAATGGTGCTTCTGTTGTGCATCTCCAGATCCTTGATAAAATTCAAAGAAGGGTCTATAGTGTAACCCATTCTGATCAGGCATCTCGACTTCAATCGACGTGACGTAGTTTCCCTCTGTCTTTTCTTGTCGGAGTTCGCTCCTCCTCAGCTCCTTAACCCTTCACCAGGGGTCTCTCTCCCCTGGCTATAAATACTGGTTGACCCTTCGCCTCGATCTCTTTTTTCCTCAGGCCTTCAGCCTTATACCACCTCGCATATGTGAGCTCTCACAGATACAGCGTTTCCGAAATTCTGGGAACACGCTAAGAACAATACACGTACGTACGAACACTCACCACAACACACACACTCACACACATAATATTCACCACACGCACTCTGTCCATGTAACCTTTAACTCGTTATTAATACATATATTTGTTTACATATATTTATCGGTCTTGTTTATTTTCTTTGTTTTTCTTTGGACTTAATTAAAGTCCAATATTCTCATGTAGTTGGACCGGCTATCAGGAAATATTAACTCACGTGCGTTTTACATACTCATCACCGCCACAGTCTGCTACATTCTACAAATATTTTAACAGCAACTGTTGTGATGAGCTTTTTTTCCTCCTGGTGTCTCGACTAAACGAATTTAAGCGTTTTACTAGATTGGCAACAAGGTCTCACCGGTTTTACCGTTGAACTGACTCGATGCAACTGCCACATTTTCTTCTAACAGCTTCTTTTCTCGCATCTGTGGAACTCCCTTCAGATTTCTTGCATCCCTGTCAATTACGATCTTAAAAGATCTATCTTCATGAATCCTGTTCCTTTAGTGTCCTTTCCTTACGTCTCCTTACTACTAAAGTTTTATCACTGTCTTTCACTCCCTGTAACTCTTACGTCTTAGTGGCATTTTAACCTTGCTTGGTGGTGGGATGAAGCGATTACCACCACCACCCCCAAAAAATGAAAGGGTTTTAAATTAAGTGTTTTGTCAATTATCAAGTCCCTCCTAACAGTTAGGTTCATGAAGATAGTTGTTAATGGCCAGTGCTATAAGTCGCTTGAGATTAATGGAGGCAGCTCCCAAGGTTCGTTTCCCGGGTCAACCCCCTTGTTGCTTTATATTAATGATCTGCCCAAGGGCCTACTTCCATCTCTTATGAATATCTATGCAGACGATTCAACACTATATGGATGCACCTCCTCAGATCTAGTATGAGCAGAATCTGGTAGCTGATCTCTTCTCTGACTAGTGTTAAGGATGCTGGGAAAAGGGTCAGTTCAGTTCGAGAATCCAATCACCTGAAGAAGGCCAGAGCGGACAACGTCGTGAAAAATGACAATAAAGATGAGGACAACAGTCCGAACAATGTAAATAATGTAAACAAAACGGAATAGTCCATTATTTATGAGGTATTGACAACTAGCTAACTAACAAAGGAAAATCAGGATTATAATATGATAATTAACCCATATTCCCTTCGTATTCCATTGGTGAGATGTAAGTTCCACTGGAACAGCTTCTTCCCACGGATCGTTACATTATAGAACCGACTCCCAAGCGGGTGCTTACCCAATCACTACAATCTTTACCTGTTCAAGTCTATGGTTAACCATTATATTCCTCACTTATCCACATAAACAGTGCCCCTTATTCTGTAACCCTCTACCTCAAGTGCCTCTTGGGCCTTGTACAGGGTAAACATCATTCTAAAAAAATTACTATTGTTTTAGGCTTGTTAACTATTAGCCTTGTCTCTGCTATGTTTAGATTGTGGGGGATTCACTTGTAATAACCTTTTTTTCTTTATTTTTTGTAATTGATTAATTGATTGATTCGTTTTTACGGTTTATCAACCCATTGCAGGTTATTTAAAACTAGAAAATATTTTTAGATTGTAAGAATTTTTTTTATTTGGAGATAATAATAGTTTTGTGACGCAAGTCTTACTAATTAACCCATAGTTGGGGGGTAGAAAGGTGGATTCATCCCTAATCAGAAACAAGAAATTATAATGTGGATAGAAATTGGGGGATCAATTCTACAATATAATTAGTATATAAAATTATCCCCCACTTTGTGGTCATATCTTTGTATTTAATCAGCAGTTGATCGATTCGTTTTCTACAGCTTAGCAACTCATTGTTGGTTATTTAAAATAAACATAATTTTTTTTTTTATTGTAAGAATTTTTAATAATAATTTACTAATACATGTCTTACTAATTAACTCATAGCTGCAGGGAGAAGAGGTGGATTCATGCCTTTCCCAAGGGTATTTTTACATAAAGGAATATAACAAACCCAACTGGAATTGGAACGCTGCGCTCCGATTAACAATTCCGAGCTATTATCCATTACACCACCCACGCATCCAAGCTTACAGCACCTGGTATTCCCAAGCGGTCACCCATCTAGATACTGACCAAGCTCGACGCTACTTAACGTCGGTGATCGTACGGGAACCGATGTTTCAACGGAATATGGCCGTAATGCCTAGCGTTTGTAAACATTTTTATTCATTGTAAATAAACACTGGGGTTATTTATTTGCATATAACTGTTATCATCTCCCGTCACACACACACACACACACACACACACATACACACACACCTGAAAAAATTATTCGTATGGAACGTCTTAGGACTTCGTAGAAAAAATTACGTCGTAGTGGTGTTTGCTGTAAGAATGAGTAACTGAATTTTGCGTGAAAGAAGAGAATTTTCAAGTAAATGGGTCATTGATTTTGACAAGACAGATGAAATTGTAAGACGTTGATGAACGTCCCGTCGCCTTTCACATTTTAAGTATTTGTCTTAAATTTTCTATTACACAGAAACAGACTGCCTGGAGATCGCTAAGCACATAAAACTCTCGGTGACCATATAGAACAGATTTCTCTGTTATTTATCTATCTATCTATCTATCTATCTATCTATCTATCTATCTATCTCAGTCTGCTCATATCTATCTATCTATCTATCTATCTATCTATCTATCTATCTATCTATCTATCTCAGTCTGTTCATATCTATCTATCTATCTATCTACCTATCTATTTCAGTCTGTTCATATCTATCTATCTATCTATCTATCTATTTCAGTCTGTTCATATCTATCTATCTATCTACCTATCTATCTATTTTAGTCTGTTCATATCTATCTATCTATCTATCTATCTATCTATCTATCTATCTACACGCACACACAGAGAGAAGGAGAGATGGGGGAGGGGAAGAATCAATGTTCGTAACCCAACGCATTTATGAGCTGAATTTATATATGAAATCTTCACTGCATATGTGATCAGCGGAAAAATACTGGGTAAACGGCATCTATAAAGAAGATGATTTTGAAAAATGAATAGTGGTTGGCCTCTCATACCCGAGTGTGTCTGTCTATTAGGGCGGTTAGCCATTCCCTATTGCAGGCGCCTGCTCAGACACATTTTTCTTTTTTCAACCCCTACAGAACCCACCGGTGGTTTGTACTGCAACTATGCTGAGCGGACCTTGGTTACAGTTTCTGCGAGAGAACGCTTTATCTGGCGTGACCAGTAATCTGAAGGAGGCCAGTACGCTCAAACCCTCCGTCACAATGACTTATGACTTCGTGCTAGCACAACCATCGACGGCTCACAAATAGTTCCGTCTACCCAATTTTATTCATAAGGCCTGGATCGAAGGTACCGCACGCTGGTATCGCCTCTCCAGGCCGATAAACTCAAGTAACCTTTATGATAAATCGACCATGATGAGATTCGAACTCTGATCTCATGGTCGGAAAACGAACGTTCTAACCCCTCGGCCATATAAAATGAATGCCTTTTCCGACATTAGGCTAAAAATTTATTGATTTACCTATATATTCACCACCAAATTAAGTGCATTGACAAAGAAGATGATAAGGCTGAAAAATAAATATCCACTGTTTTAAAATAAACACTTTTTTCATCATTAGTGTTGAAACTTGACTAATGCATGGAATAATAATGCAACACAAAAGGTACTTAGAACAAAATGTATTGAAACAAGAAAAGGTACACAATATTTACATATAGTCTTTTGTATATTCCTGGTAAGACCGTTCCTGGGGAATGTGTTGACTGAGTCGCAGCCGGGCAGAGTCTCGGGTTGAATCTCTTGATTCCTCCCTCTCTTCCCGGTACCAACCATATTTATATGGTCGGTACTCCACTATGCAAATTAGGTGGACCCTACCACAACAATTAGGATTTTCAAAAAAGCGCAGTTTGATTTGCAATACGTTTCATTGATGACGAATCTATCGTGTTCAGTCATTTGTAATTTCCGTTTTCGGAAACCAATTGTAATGACGTATGGCTTATCTCACCTCAGTCAGTTACGTGCCATGCGTGATACACGCGTAACCGATCATGTATCTTTCGATACATGACTGACGAGGCAGATTTTTTTCCCGCAGTAGGTTGGCATTTCTTTCTACAGTAGACCAGTTGCCATCCAAGGCTATAGAACCCGGTCTGTCTTGCTACTTACCCATAGCTGGGGAAGGAGAAGAAGATGATTTATACCTTTTGCCAAGTGAATGTAATGGATTCGACTGGAATTCGAACACAGATCTCCTATTCCTCAGTCCGAGTCGCTATCCATTACTCCACTAAGCTTCCTATTCCACTTGGCTTTGCTAAAATGCTTGCTAGGGGCGCTCTTTAATAGGCAATGATATTCTTTCGCTTTTTTTTTTTAGCTCTTTTTACCTCTGACTTTTTTAGGGGTAGTCGCATATAGATGGGGACAATGCCACTCAGGCGCATTCTAGTCCTCTGTTGACTTTTGAACTCGCTCACACACACTTGCTTCACACACACACACAAACGCATTCTTCTAATAACTTGATTTAATTTTTTTCTTTCATTACACACACATGTAATTCCGTTTCTTAATAACATGCATTGTCGTTTGTTTCATATTTCTTGTTTTGTGTTTTTTCTTTTCATTATTTTTACCCGGACTTACATTGAGTCCGTCAATATTGTTTGCGGAATAAATGTTCATGGAGCCTATAAATATTTAATATCCAAAGTGTTGATTCCCGCGACATAATATCTACCGAAACAAACCACTATCCAGCAACAGACGTGTGTATCATCCTAACTATGTGGCAGTTAGCCATAAATTTGAAGTACGCTAACGTACATTACTTGTCGCATAGCAGTGTCAGAGTACACAATGAATTCAAGGAAAATGTTGTCCTTGTCCATGACAATGCAAGGCCGTATGCAGCAGGAATAACACAGGAAAATAATTTGGAACTCGGTTAGCCTGTTCTACCCCAACCGCCATATTCATCTGACCTTGCACCAACTGATTATTACCTCTCTCGATCGCTGCACAAATGGTCTGACGAGGAAACCTTTCTCTAATGAAAACCATCAAAAATTTCTCCCGACTTCAAAACTTGCGGAATTTTACTTAAACGGCATCAAAGAGATGCTTGATAAGGAACAATAAGTCAGTAAAAGTAATGGTGAATAATTGCATAAAATATGTATTGTAATTATACTTGATATTTTGAAGAATAAAGTCGAAGCACAAACGGAAATTATTTATGAATCAACCTAATAATTGTTGCGTAAAATAATAGAGTTTTGTCTTTCATCTTTAGGCTGTGGACTTATGAATATACCAGCGAGTATATGTGTGCGTGTATGTTTGTGTGTGTGCAACCAGAGCTCTGTGTAAAAACACAATTCTTTATATATATATATATGTGTGTGTGTGTGTGTGTGTGTGTGTGTGTGTGTGTGTGTGTGTGTTTACGGTCACATCATGTTGAAACATCGGTTCCCGTACGATTACCCAAGTTAAGTAACGTCGAACCTAGTCAGTACCTAGATGAGTGACCGCTCCGGAATACCAGGCGCTGCAACCTTGGATGTGCAGGTGGTGTAATGGATAATGACTCGAAATTATTATTATTATTCGGGAGAGCCGAGTTCCAATTCCCGTTGAGTTCATTATATTCACTTTACGCGCAACTACCCTTGGGAAATGTATGGATCCACATTTTCTCTCTTAGCTATGGGTTCGTTACTTAATTAGTAAAACTTGTATCACTAAACCTGGAAACCATTATTAACGCAAAAAAATTCTTACAATAAAATCTAAATCTAACTAAAAAAAATACTTCCTAGCTTTTAAATAACCTGTAAATGGTTGATAAACTGTAGAAAATGATTATATATATATATATATATATATATATATATATATATATATATATATATATATATATATAAGTGCGCAGGTATGCAGAAAATAGAAAAGAACACGTTGGGTGCATAATCCGGGATTCCTTAGTATTTTTGTTTTTATTTTTAAGAAGACAGTTATTTTATTCCTAAAATTTCGCTTGAAGATGAAACGGGACTAAACACCTCAATTCAACTTAATTTAAATAATTATTTGGATGGTTTCGGCTCTCGTTTATGAAACATGAGAACTCTTATGTAGCGAAGGAATCATATTTTAAACAAAGAATGTGTATGTGTGTAAAAAAAGGTTGTGATGAGGTTATGACATTATGGTTACAAAGTGATAATATGCATATATATATATGTGAAAAGTGTATAAATATATAAATAAAAGTTAAAAGTATGTATAATTCGCGGTACTTATTAGAAAGCGCTCAATCCAACTAAAAATATATATATATATATATATATATATATATATATATATATATATATATATATATATATATATATATATACACATTCATTATTGTTGCTTCTAGTTCAAAAAGTTGATATGTTTCGTCACATTTTTTTTTAATAAATAAATGCCGACGTGCACAGATGCCTTGTTCGGCTGAGTACCCTCCAGTGAAATATTGGTCAATGCTCGCTAAGCGAAAAAGGTGCTTATGATTAAACCAAATAAAAATGTCTGACGGAGGTGACAAGAAAAACGTTCAGAAACGTAAATTGGACGGGGCCGATTTGTTGGGTCCCCTAAAGTTACCCTGTCGCTCTGGGGACATCAACAAAACCGGCCAAATCGAAGACAAAGGGAGTCGAAGGTTTAAAGAGAAGCATTCGCTTGACAGCGACGAAGAGGATGAACCTAAAGGAGATGTTTTAGATGAAGAAGAAATTGAAGGTAAAAAAAAATTTGAGCAGATATATTTTTTAATTACCTGGTTTCATATTGCTATTTAGACTTTTATTTTTTTTTTACTGTATACCTATATATATATATATATATATATATAGTTTTATTATCATTTTTGGACGTTGGATGAGGAAGATGTCTCAATTAAGATTTGAAGTTAGAGTTGTCTTTTAAAAAAATATATATTTTGAATTTTATTTTTTACTAACTTCAAAGCTTCCCTGATAGCCTTGTTTCTACCTAGTGGATGTTTTTTATTTCTTAATTCTGACAAAACCTAAAAACTGATTTCTTAAAATAAAAAAAGAAGAGAATATATTCCTGACTCGTACTCTTTGTGTATTTTTAATTTTTAAAAGATTGTCACGTGCCTGATTTATCGAAACACGTACTGAAGAAAAGCAGAAAAATTTATTTAGAACGTTTTTTTACCTCTCTTTTTTTTCTTTAAGATGTAAATGAATAAAAAGTTCTAAGAATTATTACTTTTTATTATTTATTTTCTTAGACTCACCAGGGATTTAAAAATACATATTAAAAAAAAAAAACTGTTCCGTTTCTTTTTTTTTTTTTTTCCTTTTTGGCGGGGAAAATCAAATGTTTGTTTCGATTCCGATTTTTTTTATCGTTTTTGTTTTTACTTCTCTGAAAGTTTAAGAAATAAAAATAAAAAATCACCTTTTTAAAATTTTTTATTTACTTGGAAAAAATAAAATAGTGAAATTTTAACTTCTGTTAAAAATTTGAATAAGCATTTAATTATTTTTTTTTTATTTTTTTTTAAACAATTTTTTTTAATAGTTTTCCATTTTTTCTTTTTTAACCAAGCTTAAATTGCGTAAAAAAAAAAAATAATTCAACTATTTTATTTTATTTTTCTCTTTAAAAATGAAAAAGTCTTTACGTTCTAAAATGAAATTGGATATTTTTTTCCTACGTCACCGGTAATCATTTGCGATCGATCAGTTATCGGAAAGTTCAATCAGAGAGGTTTTAAGTTTATAAAAAAAATAAATAAATAAGTAAAGTAAAAATTTTTTTAAAAATACAAAAACTATCACCTAATTTTAAGATTTAAAAAAAAAAAATCATTGAATTACTATTGGCAACTTTCAGAGTATTTTTTTTTTTTGTTTGTTGATAATCAACTAAGTACTAAAAATCCTCTTTAACCCGCTTCAGATTATGTTTTATTTAGTTTAACTAATGCTCAACAACTGACAGTTCAATCTTTTAGAGATAAAAATCAAAACACATGTGGACATGCAGCAAAAGGACGGTTTTTGTTTGTTTGTTTTTTTAGTGATCAGCAAAGTCACTTTAAATTAAAAAGAATAAAATAAAATACTTTGTCACTTTACTAAGTGACAAAGTATTTTATTTAATTTTTTTTTAAACGCTATTGAATTTTTAATGAAAGTTGATTGATACCAAGTATTTGGAGCATGAAAAAAAAAGACCTGCATATATGGCCAACTAAAAAAAAAAAATAAATAAATAGAGCGTAAAAACCGTAAACAACTCACCCTCACAGATCCCCACCTGTTTTCTTTTGTTCTCTATCTATTCAAACAATAAAGATTATTCGGGGTAGAAAAAAAAATTAACGACGTTACATGATAAAATATTGGTTGTTTGTATGTATGTTTGTTTATTGTTGCGAAAAAGACTACCGTAGTGAGTGTATTGTACTTTAAAAATACAAGGCTGAATTGTTGCGAAAGACTGTCCTGGTCGTAACCTGTGATGCTAATTATCACTGACAGGAGATAGATTTTAAAAAAATCTATTTATTTGCAACCCAGAGAGAAAACAAACAGAGCTAAGAACTAAGAAGCGTCAAAAATCGATCCCCACTTTTCCCTACGTTGTCTGACACCCACTCTTGTTACTAACTTGTTGACTAGTAGTTATTGTTTCGCTTTCTTTTAAGGTGCCTACCTCGGTTGATACAGAAAATAAACAAAATTGAGTTATTTTTCTCTTGTTTATCTGAGTTAGAACATCCACTGTTTCACAACTTTTCTGGCTCCATTTTTCTCGGCAGTAGTTTCTTTCTTTTTCTTTTCTTTTCTTTTTGTCGATACCACCAAAAAGGACAACAATTATTAAGCAATGTACAAGAGGAACAAGAAGTGTAGTTGCTCGTTACCAGTTTACTTTTAGTTTGCTACATGTCACATCACTGACTTGCAGGAGGATCAAGTTTCAAATATAAGTTGATTGCCCATTTAAAATGCTAAATTTATTAATGTATTCAGTTTTTAAATACAGAAAGAGTCCTTTAAAAGATGACTTGAAAGGACTACACATTTTTGGTTTATTATTATTATTATTTTTTTTTTTTTGCTACCCAGGTAACTTTTCTGGTTTAAGTCAACCAGAAAGGGAAATTGGATCTCTTATGACACAGATGCCTATTTAAATTTCGTTCAAATTGTGTGTGTGTTTGCATGTGTGAGTGCATGTATTTTTATTTGGTGGCATACCATAAAGTATTTCTACAAAATTAAAAAAAGCTTAAATATCTATTTAACTAGATAATTTTTGAAAAGTTCAATTAAAATCTTATAATTGTCTGATTATTTTTGCGGGGATGGGGGTAAATTTAAAGTTATCTTTTTGGCGTACTTGTGAGTTATCTGTCACCACCTTAATTTATGTATTGGTAATCTTTTATGAAGTTAGATGTGGTATTTAGAATGTTTTTTTTTTTTTTTTGTTTTCTTTTAATGCTAAATGAATCTTTCTTTGGAATTCTTTTACACATCTGTATTTGTGAAAAAGTTGAAAAATTAATTTAAAAAGTGGTGACAGATAACCCACAAGTACCCTTTTTGATATGTGTGTGTGTGTGTGTCTCTCTCTCTCTCCCAAACTGTGTGATTTTATTGTTCAGTCCAGGGCAAAGGTTGTCTGAGTGGAAGGGGAATGTATTATTCCAATGTCTTATTTCCGACTTAGTCAAATTGTGTTTGTGCGTGCATTAAAGTGCAGAACCACATTTAAGTCATTCACACACAACACAAACGTAGGCATATATTGCATACATTCATGCAAAGACACACCTAGACAGGGGATTTTTCACTGTGCACATGTTGCTCCTGAATGTGACACAGGGTTGTGGTTAAAAGTGTGTTTACCAGCAATACCATGGAAAAATTGTTCAAAACTTCCTCAGTACTTCCCCTTCTGTGAGCGCCTCAATTGCCCAGGCTTGAACTAATATTAATTTCAACTTCGCTGGCAGATGTGAACTTCTAGGACACACCTACACAGTATCTGAAGATAGGCTCATGTCTTCTTTTACAACTTAAATTTCAACTGTGGGGTAGAAGGTTTGTTTTTATTTTACGCATCAGTCAACATAAATATCTATTTTGAACTTTTTTTTCTTTGTTATCTAATCTAAAACCTAGACCTAGGCCCATCAAAAGTGTGTGTGTTTTTTTTTTTGTTTTTTTTTTTTTTTATGCAGGCTGAGGCTATAATGCCTTGTTGGGTTATTTAATGTCAAAACCAATTTTTTAATGCTTGAGTTGGAGTCTGTAGGTAAACATTAGTCATTTTTATACTCGAAGCATTCATCCAGAAAGTGGCTCATATTTTGAGTGACTCTTACCCCTCTATTGAGATGTCATTGGCATGTTTTTAGGCCATTCCAACCAGGCAATCCGAGAATGATTACAAGCATAATGGTTCTTTTCTGCTTATTGCTATTTATGCGGGATCATTCTACAAATTCTCATGGTAACA